TGGGAACCTGGATTTGTTTTCGAAGGATTTTAAGACCTTGAGTTTTGATGAGGGTTTTAAGACCTTTGATTGAGGTTCTTTGGGAACCTGAATTCGTTTTCGAAGGATTTTAAGACCTTGAGTTTTGTTAAGGGTTTTAAGACCTTAGATTGAGGTTCTTTGGGAACCTGGATTTGTTTTCGAAGGATTTTAAGACCTTTGTGGTTACTAAGGATTTTAAGACCTTAGATTAGGTTTGCGGAAACCTGAATTAGCTTGTTTAAAGGATTTTAAGACCTTAGTGGTTACTAAGGATTTTAAGACCTTAGGTTTAGGTTCACGGAGACCTGAATTCGTTCGAAGGATTTTAAGACCTTAGGTCCAGGTTCGTCGGGACCTGGATTCGTTTGAGGGATTTTAAGACCTTAAGTCCAGGTTCGCAGGGACCTGGATTTGTTTGGAGGATTTTAAGACCTTAGGTCCAGGTTCGCGGGGACCTGGATTTGTTTGACTTCGAAGTGTAAGCTTGAGTCATGTACTGTGACTTTTTAAGTATGGGATTCATATAATCTTTCCGGAATCAGATCGCGGATCTTGTTAACAGCTGACCTCGTGACCTTAGAGGTCACAGTGATTTCGAGTGTGATTGGTCGTGAGATTATCAGGAATGAGTTCCTGAATCTTCGAGATTAGATTAAGATCTTTAGGGATCTAAATTCTTTCTAAAGAGCTTTTAAGGCCATTAAGGGTAGATTTACGCAAATCTGGATTCGTTTGGAAGTTTTCAAGACTTCCGAATTTACTTAGGATTTTAAGTCCTTAGGTTCAGGTTCGTAGGGACTTAATCTCGTTTGAGGGATTTTAAGACCTTAGGTCCAGGTTCGTGGAGACCTGAATTCGTTTGAAGGATTTTAAGACCTTATATGTTGCTGAAAACTCAAGATGTTTAACGTAATTGTTTCATTGATAACTTTTATAGAATACATCGCGTTGTAGCAATCATACAGTTGCTGTCTGGGCTATGTGTTTTTAAACATATGC